TTTATAATAATTTGTATTTATTTTGCAAATCAATACATATTATTTGATTTTGCAGATTTTGTGACTACAATGACAAAATATGATTAGGAAAACCATTTGGTTTTTTTTTTTTTTAAAACGCCATCTCATTCCCATAATTAGAGAAGATAAATACATTCTTACATCTCATGCATAGTGATGGACAAACCATAAGCGTGAAAATCAGATTCTGCTCATATTTTGCTGAATCTTATGTAGATTGGCTTCCAGGAAAGCCTACTGGTAAAAGGCAGCAATTGCTATGTCTGAAACTACCATGCTTTAGTGGTAAGGAGGGTTATTGCTTTGTAATGTTATCAGTGACCCGTAAGTTCCATTTCAACACAAGGACATTAGTTCATTGTGTGACCCTTGTTCGACAACCCTTCCATTCTTGATCACAGCAATGGTATCAGATTTCTGTATGGTTGATAACCGGTGAGCCACGACTACACATGATCTGCCTTCCATCATCTTCTCAAGTGTTTCTTGAACCAAGCTTTCTGAGACACTGTCAAGGGCACTGGTAGCCTCATCCAGAAGTAGAATTGCAGGGTTCTTCAGTATGGCACGGGCAAGTGCAATCCTTTGCTTCTGGCCACCAGATAGCTGAACTCCTCTTTCTCCACAATTTGTATCATATTCATCTTTCATTCCACTGCAAAGGAAACACGAGAACGTGAATATTGATCCAATGAAATGCCTTTCTTATGGGAAATTGAGTAATGATTTTAAAGTAATGTGCTTTTGTACATTATAAATTCATCAGCGTTAGCCATAACTGCGGCCTTCCTGATCTCGGATTCTTTAGCATTCTCTTTTCCATAGGCAATGTTTTCACGGATAGTTCCTGCAAAAAGAGTTGGTTCCTGGCTAACTAGGGCAATGCCTGCCCTCAGTAGTCTCAGATTATAGTTCCTTATGTCCTGTCCATCTATTAACACTGTTCCCTGCAATGGATCATAGAACCTCTCTATGAGGCCAATGATGGTAGATTTTCCAGAACCACTTTGTCCCACTAGTGCCACCGTCTTCCTGGCATCAATTCTGAGGTTCAGGTCCTTAAAGATCATCTGATCAGGTCTTGCAGGGTATGCAAATAGCACATTTTTCAGCTCTATGCGACTGTGAATTCCTTTTTTCTTTTGCATTCCCCATGAAGTATTAGGATCAATCTCACTTTTCCTGTCTAATATTGCAAAAACTGATTTAACAGCATTGCTTCCTTTAGATGTATCATTAGTCATGCTTCCAGCTTCTGCTATGACATAAGCAGTAAATAGCAACGCCAAAAATGCCTGGAAAAGGTGCTTCGGTGATATCAAACTGCTTGCCAGAAGTCTACCACCATACCAGTTAGCTAATGCTGTAGAAGCTGTGTCAAAGAATTGAGAACTAAATAGGCCAAGACCTGAAAGATAGAAGTGTCTAACACTTTCCTTCTTAGGACCTTTAAATGTTTCTTTCAAAAGCCCAATCATTCTTTTCTGAGAAGAGAAGGCAGTAATGGTTCTGTGGTTTTTGACAGCTTCACTTGCTAGTTGGCTTCCTTCCTTCTGTGCTTTTAGGGCTTTTCCTGCCATACTCTTCACCAGGACACTCCTTGAGTAATAGCTCCCAACAACAAATGGTTGCACTGGTATCATCACAAGGGACAGTCTCCAACTGAGTACAAGAGCTACTGCATAAGAGCAAATAGATCCAAAAATTGCCTGAACCAGCAATGACATTCTATCCCCAACAAGGGAACGAACCATATTGGCTTCAGTGGCTAATCTTGAACAAATTGCTGCACTTGTGTTCTCTTCTTCATCAAACCAACCAATCTCAAAAGTCATGAGCTTTTCGAGCAGATTTTCCCTAATCCTTTTGGTTAACTACTCTCCCATGATTGCAAAGTTGTAGTGTTGGAGGAGAGCAGATGTAAAATTGAGAGCTGCAATGCCTAAGAAAACAAGTGACAAGGTTCTGGACTTTGACTTGGTTTCATGTTTGTCTTGGAAGTAAATTCATATAAGTGACCCTACACAGTAAGCATTTATAGGTTGAGCTGCTCCTGATCCTATTGCAGCCACACATCCAATTAAGGCTCTTCTCCACTCAGGTGCATTCATTTTCAGCAGATGCCACTGGGATGGAGCAGGTTGAGTTTGTAGATTTGTGTCTTCTTCAAAACTGTCAGAAGGATCACATTGGACAGAGTAGGAGAATGGGATGCCGATGGAAAGCGAGGGGCTAAAAGGGTGTATAACTGGACTGCTTGGAGCACTTGATCTAATACTCATGGGGCTTGATGAAATATTCATCTTATGGTTATTTCTTCCATCAACTTGGTAATTAGAATCATTAGAACCTTCATTTTGCAATTCCATCTGCTGTAACTCCATCTGGGAATACTCTCCACCCTGTCCATCATTCATTTGCATTAGTTCTTCATGTGATCCAGATTCAATGACTCTACCAGCTTGAAGAACCGCAAACAGATTTGCTGCTCGGACTGTTGAGAGGCGGTGAGCAATGATGATTGTTAGACTCCCTACCAATGCCTTATCAATTGCCTCCTGGACTATTTTTCAGATTGAGCATCCAGTGCACTAGTGGCCTCATCAAGAAGGAGGATTTTGGGGTGCCTGATTAGCGCCCTAGCTATGGCAATCCTCTGCTTCTGCCCACCAGACATCTGAAACCCAAATTGACGAAGATGTGGAAGTCCAGAGATTCCAGTTAATGGTTCATTAAAATGCAAAAATTAAACATTCATTTCTTAAAAGTTAGAAATAAATCTATTTGGGATATCATGTGACTTACGTTGGTTTCATATCCTTCCGGTAGCTTGACAATGAAGTCATGAGCATTTGCAACCTTAGCAGCATTGATAACATCTTCCATTGTTGCCCCTTCTTTCCTAAACAGTATATTTGCCTTTATCGATGTTGCGAAGAGGACAGGTTCCTGATTAACTAAACCCATCTGAGCCCTGAACCATTTCAGTTGAAGTCTTCTTATTTTGTATCCATCCAAGAGAATTTCTCCTTCAATGGGATCATAAAACCTTTGCAGCAATGCAATGATAGTTGACTTTCCAGAACCACTGCCTCCAACAAGACCTACGGACTTACCAGCTGGAATCCTAAGATTCAGGTCTTGTAAAACGGGTGTATCTGGTCTTGACGGGTAGTTAAAGTAGATGTCCTTAAATTCAACTTCTCCTCGAACATAAGATAAAGCCTTTCCCTTCTTATCTTCTGTATCTATAGCAGGAACCCGGTCAATCATCTCAAAGATTCGAGTAGCAGCAGCTTTTGCCTCAGTAATACCAGTTAAATTTGGCAATGCACCGAGCACACTCCTGCAAACCAGCCATGGAAGTCATGAATTCAAAATTATGTCTGGCTACTGAAAATATCAAAAAGAAGAGTCAGAGAATTAACATACAATCCTCCCATGATGATATTGATACCAGCTGCAAAAATAGACCCACCTTTTTCCCTTCTTTCTGTAACCAAATAAGTCCCCACCCATGCTTGAAAAGCCCAACCTATATAAATAGTTCCCATACTTCCCATCATCAGGCCCTCAGCAAGACCTTGCTTTATTCCCAGTTTCAAAGTGTTTTCAAGTGCAGTGCTGAACTTCTTTAGTGTATGATTCTCTGCTTCATATGAACATACAGTTCTTATAGTGGAAATTGCTTGTTCTGCAATTCCACCAGCAATACCATAAGATTCAATCATCTTCATTGTCACGTCCATCATGAGCTTCCCGAATACAAGCCCCGGAACAATGAACAGAAGTGAGAAAGGAAGAGCTGCTAAGGTAAGTCTCCATGAGAGCATGACGGAAACTACGAGGCAGAAAAAGAAAGTTGAGACATATGCAAGGCAGTCCGGAATCTACATGAAGAAGAAAAAGAAGAAAAAATTATTATTACAATTGCATGTGGAAGGTACCAACTCCTCTGTATATGATCTCTTTGAGTGCATTATTTTCATAAACTATAAACATTCAATCAGATTCATTGCAGGAGTTTAAAGGTCAAAGAGCACTCAAGTCAAACCTTGTCCCAAATTGCAACTTGAATTGCATTGGCATCAGCAGAAATGGTGGAAACAACTTGGAAGGTGGTGGAAGAACCATTATCTTGAGTGTCAAAGAAACCAACATCCTGTCTAAGGACAGATTTCAGGTATTCCATTCTCATCCGTGAAGTCTGCCTCTCAGCTGTTCTCGTCCAACAAATTCCTTCTGTGATAACATATGGCCACCACAAGGCAACAAATCAGACAGTTATGTTTTCCCTTTAAGCATGTTGAGCATTAATAGTATTTCCCTTTAAATGAAACGTCATTCCTGAAAAGGCCTTTTCATGGTTGTTAAATTTGCAACTTACCCACAAAAGCAGAGAGGCAAACTCCCAATTGCAACATTGAGGAGCCTATGGGCATACTGCAACACAGAATGTAGAGTAAGTGCACAAAGTAATAAAGTGATTACAACTAGGAAATAAGTCTTAAGAAGTTGAAAAATAAAAACATATTGATGCATCTCTTAATTCAGAAACAAATAAACTACATCGTCTGCTCAATGATTCATTACCCATCTGTTGACACTTGACTAAAACAAATGGAAATGAATAGACCATAACAATGCTTACCTTTTGGGTAAATGTAAATTCTTAAACAATGCTTACCTTATCTACGGTATCATTAGACACAGAGGTATTTAACCTCCCATAGTCATTGATCACTTTACTAAGAACAAACATCATCATAGGGTACTGCAACCCATCTCCTATGCTGCCCAAAGTCCCAAAAAACATCAACAACTTGTCCACACTATCAGCATACCGAAACATGCTATCATCAGCCCCCATATCCTATGCTCCTCTAAGGAAAATGAACTGTCCAAATGTTCTATATTGACTTCATCATTTCTCCATTGAAACTCAGATTGCTTTTATATCCTGATTATGTGCTGTTAGCCACATATTTGCAGGCTATAGAATCTTTCATATTTTGTTTTGTTCCATGTTCTGATACTCCAAATGGAATGCAGTAATGTGTTTTTAAAAATTAGCCGGCGCAGGTTGTATGTACTGGTTAGGAATTAATGTTGGGTTCAATACTTCCAACAAGCATATCATGGGCCAGAATCATCCCATTCTTTTTCCTCCTATGCCTTTGAAAAGATCATTCCAGAAAATTAAGATATATTTATCCATAAAATTGCTGGAAATGAGTTTGATTTGATGATTTTGAGGCAACTGGATTGGCGGAAACTCTCTTCTTCAACTTCATTGCATAAGCAAGGACAACCTGACTTGTTTTATATTCAGTTGCTGCAGTTTTCAATGAGTTTGCTTGCGTTTTGCAACTTCTTCCATAGACAAAGAACAAAGTATTTCAGACCATTCTATTGCACTACTTGTCTTTATGAAGGCAACTGAATATGTATTGTTTCAATTATTGAAAGTGTCATGGCTGCCCAATGATATTGAATCTGTCAACTGGATTAGATTTTGTCACATTAATTATTTCTTTCCCAGTATATATACAACTTCATTGCGTTTATTTAAATACTAGGTCACCATCCCATGTTCCTATAGCAGGCCAATAAGAGTTTGCTACTTCAGATTTCATATAATTCTTGTTACTAGATGAAATATATACCTTGAAAGCTTGGAAGTTAAAAAGAAGAACACTACAAAAACGGTTCATGTTTGTGCTGATGGCCGTTTGTTTAGAGAAGGCCAAGATAACAACAGATAATAGGAGGGTTGCATTAGAACAAATGCCCAAAGCTTTCAAACTTTATAAAGCAATTAGGGATGAAAGACTTAAAGAAAACTGGTGGGTCAAAACACGGTCTTCTGATTTTTCTAAAAACTGTTTTCTAGAAGATGAAGCTCCACTTCTAGAAACTCCAATGGAACTTTGCAATGTAGCGGTATGGTGCAGCCACAGTACAAACATGTTTAAGCATGAAATCAAGTGGGCAGAATTAAAGGAAACATTCTAACATCCATGAGTACATTATTCTAATGTTAAACATTAATGTCTGAGCAAAATATAACATTAAATCCACTGAGACAAACATTAATCACCAATGTCAAACTCAGTATACTGTACGGGTGAGGGAAAAGCAAATGCAACCAGCACAGCCTTACTTCAACTATGAAAAAGGTAAACTCTAATAATGCAAATATGAAACACTACTGTCGCGCAGATGAAGGATCCTCCACACGACACTTTATTCCAAACAGAAAGCAGGAGAGAGCACCACATAGAGAACACACATGGTGGGAGTCGTTTGTTCAGATCTGGAAGCTACTTTCTGTAACAAGAACACAAAGGAGGTCTTGATTAACAGTTGAAGAGGAAAGTGCAAGGAAAGAAGAAATGGCAAAAAGGACTACAAGAGGTGCTTATTTGAGACCATGAGAAAAGAGTATTAGGTGCTGCTTCCATTGGAGGTGTCCCCTGCCTCAGGATCTGAGCGTCGACCATAAGCTGTTAAATAAGATAAAGCAATAATCAAAGTGAATAAATTTTTAACTAATAAAATGCTTTAAAACCTGCACATGTACCCCAATTCATCCTTTGAAGAGAAATGTATCTATGTTAGGTTCATAAAACCAGCTAAAACAAGAATGAGACACTGTTTGGTCCCTACCATAATTTCAAACAGCATTCCAATAGAAATTAACTAGCAAATCTACACCATATATGGTCAGTAAATCTATCATAGTTAAACAGAAAATTCAGAAGTTGATTTATAACTTACTTGAGAGAAGGCTTTCTGTATACGTAAACAGAGCAGGATGTCTCCTCTGCTCCAAGGGGTCAGGCATATTAACAAGATTTCTCCAAATCCTGTCTTCCACATTATAGAGTAGATAATGGAAGTCAGTCATAAAGAGAATTTCACTCTTCAATGCAACTACAGCACTAATGGGTTCGAGTTCTGAGAAGGGAGAAAGAACACTGCATTTCTTTTCCCATTTGAGCTTATGGCAGTCTTTTAAAATCCAGATATCCAACATTCGGCTCTCATCATATACAACAAGAAGTGATAAACAACCTTCAAGGTTGACCAAATATGAGCATTTAGTGATCTTCTGTGGAAGGTCAATTTTGCCAAAATTTTCCTCCACATCAACTGTCAGGATGGAGCCAGGGACCTTCCTATCTTCTTTTGAAGCAACAAACCAATGTACCTTCCCATTGAGGAAAATATGGTTGGAGCCCAGCAGAGGACCCTGGTTAGCAGGCATGGGAAATCCTGGTGGATGACCTATAACCCTCCAAGATCCAGTGCTAGATGAATATACCTCACAATAATAGTTAGGTCGAGATTTGCCTTCAGCTGGAGGATTGTGCTTGGCACAGAAAAACCGGAATACTTTGTATTCATTGATTTTAGGACCAAAAGCAACTCCAATGCGCGGTAGTTTTTTGCTAGGACTACCTCTTGGAAGTAATAGAACATTTTTAGTAGCTGGATTGTAGATACGGATTTCCAGGTCATTCCCATCCTTATCAGTTGTGTTACCTAGTACGGCATGGTTGACACAAAAGATCAGACCATCAACCGAAGCAATTATGCAAAGATTGTAATCATTTTCCCAAAATGGAGATGTAAACATTGTTTTGAGCTCAGTGGCCTTCATAACATATAGCTGCAGATGCAGATCCCGGTATGGATAAATTATAAAACAGGGGCATTTTCTAGATTGCATTAGCTGGAAATCAATGAAAAGTTGACTGCTTATGACTCGATTCCAAAGCTTACAAACAGACTTGCATAGTAAAAGCCACTTAACTGGAAGCCTTGAGAGAATATCAGCGAGAACATCTTCTGCACACTCTATTTCATACCACTTATTTTTTATCATATGGGAACATTTGCCACGGGGTTTAACCATTTCTAACCTCTCTCTACTTTGATGTCAAACAAGAAACTCACTATATCAATCCAGTGATTGCCAAATTAGAAACATCTGAAACATGAAGAGAGATATCATTATAGATTAGGACAATCATGCAGAAGATATTAAATTCTTGCTGCAACTAAATTTGCATGGTAGATAATAATGATTGAACAATAAAAAAAATTTACTTCTCATTTGGTAACATTGAAAAAAATCACAAGGTCTGAAAGTGGAAACATGTGGCATTCTCAAGGCATGAAATTAATTTGCAAATAAGCAAAACCTTGTTCACAAATGAAGGGAAGAAACTGTCTAATAGGAAATCTTATTTGGTCACCAAGTCAACATCTTTATTTAATGGACTAAACAATTGCTTTGGCAGATGGTGCTAAAAAGAGTATAACTAAGAGATATTGTCACATTTTTACTCTATGAAGAGAATAGATTAAGGCCTATAGGATACAACATGAAGACAGACATAAACATCATAGTATCTGTGCATCAATTTGAAACGGTTGAAATTACCATGAAGAAATGCCATCAAGAAAGCAGAAAGTTGAAAAGAATATGATGACAATATGACATGCCAAAAAAAAAAAAAAAAAAAAAAGACACAGAAAAAAAGGGAGGAATCATAAAAATTGAATGCAATTTCTCCAATGGACCTAGATCCTATTCATCAAATGCTTCCAATCTATTTTCACATCTGTTGGATTTAAGACCAAAATGTTGATCCATATTTTTCATTTTCATTTTCATTCAAATAGTTTTAAAACCATCTGTCTAAAACAAAGAAAGAAACAATTGAATACAGTATCTCCAATGGACCTAGATTTCTATTCATCAAATGCTTCTAATCTATTCCACATCGATTGGATTTAAGACCAAAATGTTTATCCATATTTTTCATTTTCATTTTTATTCAAATAGTTTTCAAAACCATCTGTCTAAAACCAACTCTTACAACATCTTAATCTAGCCTTCACTTCATGGAATTGAACAACAAAAACAATCACAAGCAAATTACCTCCCTAGCAAAGGAATCAGGTAAAATTTTATTAAGGAAGAAAGATGACAGTGCTCCCTTTTCCTGAATCTACAAGATTGCAACCCTTAAAAAAAGGAGCCACCAACCACAAGACCCCTCCCCAATTGAGTATCCTTTTCGAAGATGATTTTTGTTTCAATTCAAAAAGATCTTAGATCTAGTGATTACAGGACCTGGACCACAACCAAAAGGGATTTGAGATGCTTAAGATATTGGCCTGCAGAAATGAATGACTAGATGTCAAAAGTGGTGGAGGAAGGGGATCCACCAAACTCAATCAGCTTTCTTCAACCAGAAAGGATTTAAAGATGCCTAACTTCGAGGCCTAGAAATGAATGATCAAATGTCAAAAGGAGAAGGGTAATGGGGACTCACCGAGCACAATGAGCTCCACTGACTGCCCTTGACTGAAAGGGACTAGAATCCACACGTGCAAGAGAGAAGTCTAAAACTCAAAATCTCACCAAACATCAACTATTTTTTCAACCTGGAAATCTGAGAGTTCATGAATCTGTGACACAGGAGAGGAAGCAGCTACTTAAAGATAAAAGGAGGCTAAAATGGTAAATTTTGTGAAAAATAATAAACATTGATCATCAACCTAGATATTTAGAGTACATTCCCCGTGACAACTGTTTGGCTGTGCAGTTCCGGCAGGATTGTGAGCTCATATTTCAAGGAAAAAATCAACACCAAAATTATTAAACTTTTTCTACTTCAAAAAAATTACAGCAAGTGAGATATCAAAAATATTTTTGTACTTATCACACAACAGAAGGTTTTCTAGAATTCTGCTCTGGCCTAGATGTAAAATTTTAAAATTTTATCAAGTAATTAAATCTCTTGCCTTGTATTGAAAATGATAATCTGCATCATGAATTGCTTTCCTTTTATTTGATTTCAAATTATTTTTTCACTCATCAAGAAACAACAGAAATTAGTAAATATAGAAAAGAATCCAGGAAGCATCTCTATATAGAGAATGAGACCATAACAAGCATGTATGGTATTAATCTGTTATCCAGCTTTTTTATTTTTCTTAACTTCACGGACACATTTCATTATCAGCATCCCTTTCAGTTTCTTCCATAACAGTTTTCAGATTTGAAAGACTAGAAAATAGTCACATAAATGAACAATAGGCTACATTAAAATAATCAAATCAATGAATCTCTACAGATCTCTTCAGGGTCAGGTCATACAAGTTCCTCCTTATGAAGAGGCATGTTTAAAAAGAAGGAAATAGTTTACGGTTCTGATTTTTGGACAAGAGAGAAAAATCTAGGACTTGTGAACAGATAAAAAGACTATAAGTATATATCATGCCGCAAACAGTGTTCTGAAGACAATGGAAAGGATTTGCAAATGAAAAAAAAAAAGAGAGGAAATATTTCTTCGGGTTCAAAGCAGAAATCTGACTGAATATGATAGCAGTTTTGCATCATACAGAAACTCTTGTCCACTACAAATGAAATTCTGATGGTGTGTTCAAATAAGATCTTGATATGTTAATTTTTAGTAACAATCAAGCTTTACTTGAAACTTGATACCATGTACAAGAAGTAACACAAATCTTGCTTGATCATGTTTGCATTCTGCAAAAATTCCCACATGTGTAGACCCGCACATTAACATATCTAAGAAAAAAAGTTGGGCCAACCACAGTTCATTAGTACTTGCAGAATGAGTTGCCTTTTACATTTACGTAAGTTCCAATTCCATAAAAGATTACATATGCTACATATGCAAGGTTCTCATCACGCCGTTATGCAAAAATACCTTTTATATATGATGGAGAAGTACAGTTACCATTCTTCTAAAGATGCCCATGTTCCAAATCCAAATTATCTATGTTCATTAATAACCTAGATAACTGCAAATGGTAATGTGTTAAGCATACGTCATAATATATTACGCAAACCCAATGCTTCTTTCAAGACAATTCACTTGTAAGTGCACTACCATATTAGGAAAGCAATTAAGTCATCATTTTTTTTTCTTTTAATGAATGAAGCTAAGCATTAAGAAACCACTTACTCAAGCAACTTTTTTTTGGAGCTTCTAGCATTCTACACAAAGAGACAATCATTTTTAACAAGTAAAGGGAACAAAAGAATTAAAATTTGCTTCAAAAGAATCACTTACTGCAAATTCTGGAGGATCTAGAGCTCCCATTCATTGTTCCCACCAAACATAAACAGAAAAAGTATGCCATTACTAAAAAATTCCACTCCTGAAAATTTTAATATTGATAATATAAACCAGGAATAGAATTAGGGAAAAAAAAAAACTAACAAATCAAGTCCTTGCAAAACATGTCCTGTATTACAAAAAGGAAAAGAATTGAAAAAAAAAAAATTATGCACAATCATCCTAGCTTCAAAAAATGAACCAAGTAACAAAACATAGATATCGTACCAACTATCATCAAAAGAATCACCAAGTGATCCTAATTTTACCTTCCTTTTCAGTTCAATGCCATACAGAAAATCACCAGAGCCACCAACAAATCAACCCAAAAACCAAATATTTAAATGTCTCAGCTTGTTTTTGCCCTTACAGAACAATCCTGCACAATGTTTTTGCTATCAACTAAAACTACACAAGTGTGCCTACAGATTCCAAGTTACATAGACCCATTTGCATAATCATGAAAAAAAAAAAAAAACAGACAGAAAGATTTCTTTAACATACATGCAGTACAGTAGCAGGAAAAACAGCAAAATCGATGAAGTAAAAATAAAGAGAAAAGCTCGAAACTTTCACCTCTCTGTGTCTCCAAATTCTCGATTGACAAGCAAAGAGAAGTGAAGCAGAAGCCCACATCCCTTGCGGGTGTCCCAAGAGAGGGGGGACTGTAATTCCGTGCAGTTTGTAGAGAGGCATCGTGGGCATGTGGAGACTGATATCAGGCGAAGAATAAAAGAGTTTTGTTAGTTAAATCCACTATAAAAGGACTTTCCGTGGCTCATCGGCAATGCCATGAAG